TTCCGTCTCACACCCAAGCTATAAAAGCTTAGCTACTCATAACGGAAAGTAAATTATAAGAAAAATAAATGACGGAAAGTAAAGACATAAACGTAAATTGCRTAAAGTAAATAACGAGAAAGTAAATGACGAAAATGTAAATGGCGAGAATGTAAATTACGGAAATTAAATAACAGTAAATGTAAAGGAAAATAAAATAAAGAACAAGAAATTAAAAGATAATAATTAAAAAATGAAAACTTAAACTCAAGAACTTTGATTTCTCAAAAGACTCTCCAAAATCAGCCCCAACCAGCTGATTTTGATATTAGATATGTGGTGAAAGGTGTTTATAAACACAAGGCTAAGCCCCCTATTTATACACAAGGATTTGCACTACATAACAAAAATATTAACCACTAGTTAATGTCCAAAAGTTAAGCAAGGGGAATCTTAAGTACAAGATTACATATTAATTCAAAAATCCCATATTTAAAAAGTCTTCCAGCTGTTTTCCAGCTGTCTTCCATTCATCATTCAAAAGGCAGCAGCTTAATCGTTAAGCCCTCGCAAAGTCGTGCAGGTATCAGGTGGTTGCTGCTGCAATGCTGTAGCACCAGTTTGTTTTAGTAAAAATTCTCCGTTAGCTTGTATCTTTATGTCCCAACAAGTTAACCATAGTATTTTAGCTCCATAATAAAGGTATAAAGAAATAAACTAAATTAACTCAAAGTGGGAATGAAAGGAAACTAATTTTGACTAATAAGACGTGAAATGAATGTATTATGTGTTGAATTCTCAACACATATCACACCCCCAAACTTAAACTGTTGCTTGTCCCCAAACAACCAAAAGACAAATAAAAAGACTCAATTTATACAAAAATTGCATGATCAAGGCATTAAGTGCCAACCCAAAAAGAGTTATACCCAATATGAGGTTCAAAGCCTTTCATAAATCCAAGATGAGTTATTCAAAACCAAGTCATTTTATTTGAACCATAGGCTAGCGTTCCCTTTTCTTTGCTAAGCTCAAACACAATCACATATTTAGGATCAATAGGCCTTAAAGGGTTTTACTCTCTTTGGCTTATCTTTTCTCTCAATAGCCTTTTTTCCTTTTATACTCCACATATGAATTTTTCAAAATTTGGGCACTTTGGCCTCTTTTGATTGGAGTGTGCACATAGCCCTTATGGAACTTTTATTGTGCTATTTTGAAACAAATAGTCTCTATGGGACTTTTATTTGTGTTTTTCCAAGCCCTTTTGTGATAAGGAGTCAAATTAGAGCTTTTCTCTTTGGTATTGACTTTATGTCCTTATATAAATCCTCCCCCAAACTTAAATTCGACAATGTCCTCATTGGAGCTTTATGGGGTAAATAGTGTTTGAAAGGGTGCAAGTGACTTAATATGAATATAGAAAAAAAGGCCTATATAATTTCCTATTGTGAATTGTGTGATCAAAGTGTTTTCCCAAAAAGTGGTTTGCTAGTTCTAGTCTGAACAAAGTGATTTGGTTGAATGCCAAGTGATCCGTAGAATTATTGAGGCTATGATCTCATGTGCAACATAACTCAACTCAAGTGATCATGCATAAAAAATAAGACTAAAAACTATTTAAAGACTATTCCCGACTCAAAGAAATAAAATATGGAGACTAAAGTACGTGGTAGAACCTGCCCTACTCCGAAGGAGTAGGCTGTGTGCTCCAGACAGCCGTGGCTGTTGTGCCCACGTTGATTTCAACCTTCAGCCTTTCATTCTTCGCCTTGTAATGCTTCAATCTCTTTTGCAGTCTCTTGATCTTACCACCAGCTCCCTCTTTCATGATCAAACTCAAAATGTTCTTCCTCAACAGTGTGAGGAGCAGAATCGGCCATAGTTGTAGGTTCATGAGTGGTGTGATGATCAGACCAAGTCAAAAGATAAACTTTTGTGTCATTGAAATTAGTGGGGGATGGTATTTTCATTTGCATGAAATCTTCTTCTCCCTCAGAGGAATCAGAAGCAGTAAGTCCCTCCACCAAGAAATTAGGGCTCAAAATAGGATTTACCTCAATACCCAAGTTAGGGTTTTCTTTTGCTGGCAAATTGGTTGGGGTATGAGCAGGGGTGTTGGTGACAGCAGGTGGTGAGGATGGAGGAGCTTCGACGATTGGTGGCGAAGATGTGGGTAGAGAGTCGGCGATTGGTGGCGAAGACGACGGTCGCCTCGTTATTCGCTTAGCCCTAGGCGAAGAATCGGTGATGAATGTCGTAACCAGCCGTGGTCTGGGTGGCGATGGTGAAGACGGGGGAGACGATGATGGGTTGTTGGCTGTGAGGACCACCCACTCGGGATCGCTTGTACATCGCAAAGATGAAGTAGCGGCTTGCCGACGGTTACTCCTTTGCACCGGCAGTGGCGATGGGTCTCGGATGACAGGTCTCGTCGAACGGGCCATGTCTTTTGCAATAGAACAGTAGCCTCTCTTAGTGAAGTAGATTAGTAAACAAAGAGAGGTGAGAAGTTGGGGATATGATTCAGGGTTTGGTGACGTGATGGAGCCGGTGAGGAAAGGCCGGCGATGGTGATGATGGTTCTTGGAAAGATGAAGGGTCTCTTCTCAATTAAGTCCCCTCCTTTCTTTTCTTTTTGAAAAAATGACGGTTAAGTGAGGAACCAGTGGACAAAGCGGTTATTTGAAGGTTAAGAAGGCTTATCATTATGGAGGGAGTGGGGTAGTTTTTGCATGGGAGACAAAAACTAGAAAAGATAGGCTGACAAATTCTTTTCTAATTCCTTCCAGGCGGCTGCTGATGTCACTGTACTTCCCTTGATTTTCTAAAAATTTTCACCTAACTTGACATGTGAAATCTGGACAGTAATGCTACAACATCAGCAAAGCATCAACTTCTCTCACAACTTTTTCAAAATTAACCTGCACATTAACAAACACCACTGGACTTTGAAAAGTCCACAAAACACATCCATTCAAGGTGTTGCCCAATTCTTAGAGCAATGCTCTGGGGATGCTACAACATCATGAAATGCCTTAACTCGTTTCCCATTCACTTTAAACACCATGTTGTCCTCCGGGTTAATCAGGTCAACCACTCCATAAGAGTAAAGTTTGTGAATGACAAAAAGTCCAGACCACCTAGACTTGAGATTTCCCGAGAATTGTTTCAACCTAGAGTTAAACAAGAGGAGTTTTTGTCCTTCTTTCAACTCTTTATGTTGGATTCTGTTATCATGCCACTTTTTTTGTCTTTTCCTTATAAAGCTTGGCATTCTCATAAGACATTTGTCTTTGTTCTTCCATTTCTTACAGTTGTAACTTTCTTTTCTTTCCGGCTTCATCCAAAGACATATTTAGCTCTGTGATAGCCCAATATCCTTTGTGCTCAAGTTCTAGAGGTAGATGGCAGGCTTTTCCATAGACTAGCTTAYATGGAGACATACCAATTGGTGTTTTGAAAGTGGTTCTGTATGCCCATAAAGCATCGTCTAACTTGAATGCCCAGTCCTTCCTATTGGGTTTGACCACTTTTTCCAAAATGCTTTTAATTTCTCTATTGGAGAGCTCTGCCAAACTATTATTTTGTGGGTGATAAGTCGAGACAATTATGTGGTTAACATTGTATTTTTCAAGAACTCCTTTTAACAAATTGTTCACAAAGTCGGTACCTTCGTCACTAATTAGTGCTCTAGGGGTACCGAACCGTGTGAAAATTTGTTTTTGGAGGAACTTAACCACAGTTTTGGCATCATTTGACACACATGCTATGGCTTCCACCCATTTGGATACGTAGTCAACAACCACAAGTATGTACTGGCAATTATTTGATGGAGGTAAAGGACCCATAAAGTCTATTCCCCATACATCAAATAATTCAACTTCAAGTATCCCATTTAATGGCATTTCATTTCTTTTGGAAATGGAGACACTCATTTGACATTTGTTGCACCTCTGTGCAAAATTGTGGGAGTCTTTAAAAATGGTTGGCCAATAAAAACGGGACTGTAGAACCTTGGTTGCAGTCCTTTGGCCTCCAAAATGGCCTCCGTATGGTGCATGATGACAATGCTGCAGGATTCCTGCCACTTCAGATTCAGGCACGCTTCTTCTTAATATCTGATCTGCACCAAGTCTAAACAAAAACGGGTCATCCCACAGATAGGATTTAGCATCATGAAAGAATTTYTTCAACATGTGGCCTGTGTAATCAGAGGGTTTTATTCCACATGCCAAGAAATTAGCTAAATCCGCAAACCATGGTGTTTTGGTTGGTCAATCATGAGGATTCTTTCATCCGAAAAAGTATCACTAATGTCCATTCCTCCCATCTCAGGTTCTTCCAACCTAGACAAATGGTCCGCTACTTTATTCTGTACTCCCTTTCTATCAAGTATCTCTAAGTCAAATTCTTGCAATAAAAGCACCCATCTTATTAACCTTGGCTTTGCATCTTTCTTTGAGATCAAGTACTTGATGGCCGCATGATCGGTATGCACAATTATCTTTGTTCCCATCAAGTAGGACCAAAATCTCTCAAAAGCAAAAACTATGGCCAATAATTCCTTCTCAGTTATGGTGTAATTAATTTGTGCCTCATTCAAAATCTTACTTGCATAGTTAATTGAAAGAAACACCTTGTCTTTCCTTTGTCCTAACACAGCACCTACCGCCCAATCCCTTGCGTCACACAGGATCTCGAAAGGTTTGTTCCAATCAGGGGCAACTACCACTGGTGTGGTAACCAAAGCTTTCTTCAAGGTTTTGAACGCATTTCGGCATTCGTCATTAAAATCAAATTTTTGGTCATGCTATAGGAGTAGACAGAGAGGTTTTGAAATTTTTGAAAAATCTTTGATGAACCTCCTGTAAAATCCGGTATGACCAAGAAAGCTTCTAATTTCCTTAACAGTGGTGGGTTCGGGTAGTTTTTCAATTACTTCAAGCTTTGCTTTATCTACCTCAACCCCTCTTTTTGAAATTAAGTACCCAAGAACAATTCCGTCCTTGACCATGAAGTGAGATTTCTCCCAATTTAGGACCAAGTCTGTTTCCTCACACCTTTCCAAACTCTTTTTCAAATTTTTCAAACAGTTGTTAAATGATGACCCATATACAGAAAAATCATCCATAAATATTTCAATGGATTTTTCAAGCTGTTAGATCCCATAATTCAAAATGTAAAAAGTAATGAAAAATAATAAGTGATGAAGAACCAGAAGACCGATGAAGACATCAAGGCAGAAAAGTCTAAGTCTGGATCGATGGAAAGACTAACCAGAGCATCGAT